CGCCGACCTTTTCGCAGGACTGAGTGATTAATGCTGCCTTGGAACACCTGTTCAGTCAGTGTCTTTTTTCTGATGGTGTTATTGCATTCTGACAACCAGAACTGTCATCTGTGCCGCATGCCTCTCAGTTCTAAAGTTCTTTCCGCATTTTTCCTTGACTTTGCTGAGGGTGATGCTTTGTGTTTTTTGCGGGTTATTCGTTACCACTTGTCGTTCACGTTCTTCCGCGATCATCCATTTTCTCCAACTTGAAAGGTGTGTCTTTGTTCTTCGAATGTATGCGTCGTTGTCCTCGAAACGGCGTTCCCCGTTTCTCTGATGTGAAACTCAATCTTCTGTACTCACCATTCATCGGATTGACTGTACTGTTTGCGTTGTGTGTCAGTCGACCGTATTCTTGTCTGTTTTCAGTATGGCCACCAATGCACGAACGAAATGTTCAATCTTCGGATTGCTGTTATGTTCTCCTTTAAACTTTATGGTGGTCATATTTTTTCTCGGACCTTATGGTGTATCGATGGTGGATCTTCCTAACACGTTCATCAGCGGCAGTCCTTTACTCGCGAATGCAATATTGATAATTATGTAGCATGCACTGTGTTTTTCTTATCGTGACCTGATTTTGTCACACATAGGGATAGTTTATGGCTGCAGAATGATGAAAAGTGCATGATTGCGCCGATTTTCGACCCGTTTATCGTTCGATTTCAAGCTCAGCGCTCAACCGACTGACCAGTTGACCAGGCATGTAAATTTCTGAAATTGTTATGTCATCAGTCTAATGGGCGTTTGCCGAAACGTTGCCAGTGCACGGTGTCTGATGCGTTCTCAGCGTTGTAACAGCTTGCTTTGAGACATCGTCATGCAATCAGATATTTCACTACTAAGGCAGGTCCATGTATGCCTTAATCCTTCATGCTGTGTTCTCACCTCTTGGACATTCGACCTCTGCCCTGTTTCAGTTTCAACTCTGCCACTGCCCTCTATATGAGAAAGCGGCCAGCTGAATTATAGGGCTTAGTTCAATGAGTTTGTCAGACTTGAGTCAGCAACCTTTGCGTAACGCTTTCTTCTATCTCTAACTGTACTAGGGCTACACGTGCCTACAAGAGACTCATCCATTGCGTGGTTCTACCTGCTGTCGTGATTCATTTTGATCTGCATAATATATTTGGGCCAGCGCTGCTGTGCACTCTTCACTTGTCATCTTTGATCTTTCATCAGAGAACTGCAGACGGTATATCTTTTAGCGATGCTAGAGCCCAACTAAGATACTTTACGAAATTGGACCAAACAGATATTGCCGATGTATTTCAGGGAAGAGTTGTTTGCATTGACGACAGGAAGATTCGCCTTCGCGAAGTTTTACAGAACGCGTCTGCTCTTTCTCTGCGATCGATTGAAGCCTATAAAATGGATGCCGTAAATCTTGTGAACGAGCCAGAGAAGCGGCGTAAAGGTATGTACATTTTGCGGCACTTCTGAAGCGTACTGCAGTGTTTAGCTGTACCCACAAATAGTCCACCATTTTTGCCGGAAACGTTCGATCGAATTTTGCTTGATGTTCCGTGCAGCGGACTTGGTCAGCGTCCTTTACTTTTCGAGCAGAATCCGAACCAGATTCGATCACTTCCAGTCATTCAGAGAAAGCTGCTGAAGTCGGTATGTAGCTAAATTAGTATACGGTATCTGTATTGTGATCTTCCAGGCCTATCGACTGTTGAAAAAAGAAGGAACATTGGTTTACAGCACCTGTACTTTACGCGAAGAAGAAAACGAGCACATGGTTTCGTGGGCTCTAGAAAATTTTGCCGACTTGAAGCTAAGCCGACAAGTAAGCAAAAGCAGACCACTTTTTCGTGAGTAAGTTCGTAGGATCCATATTTTGATATTGGTTCAAATTAGCATAATACTTTAGATATTTGGGCAAACATCAGTAATATTTCATCGGTTCTTGTTAAGCCGCGAAAACTGTTACTGCTTCTAAAAAAGGTGAAGGCTAGTTTTCAGGGTACTGTGGCATCATTGTTCGCAAAAATTCATTAACTAATGCACATAGTTTGTGCATATGATGTTATTGCCCATTTTTAAGTTTTTGTTTCTAATTTATCCCTATTTTGAGACGGTACGTTTCAAAGCTGGAATTTGGCGTGCAAGGCGACATAAGTATTCATTTGTCGAAGAGGTCGTGTGAGTCACTTACACCTCAATCCGTTACTATTTGAACAACATTTGTTGTCCAGGAATATAACGGTTTTGGGCTGATAGGAACTAAACAATGATGAAACTGCATTTTTTCAGTTTTTACAGTTTGAGAAAATATAACCCTGATGTTCTGAGGTAAATAGCGTGAATGGCAGCTTTCCAGTTCTGTCGAATACTATTACATTTCAGATACTGATACCTGACTTATGCGCCGGAACCTCTCCAGGCAAGGTAAACAAAATTTCTTACCTCTACACTGATTCTGCGGCAGTGTAAAACTAATCTGTACCCTGGGTAAAGTCTTCCATCTTTTGTACGCTACTGCAGAATCGGTATAGCCAATTAACTCTGATGTCAGTATTTAAAATGCAATATTTAGCACAAAATTGGAAAGCTGTCATTCGTAGTAGGTACCCAAGAACATCAGGGTTATGTTATATTAATTTTATTTTTATTCGCGTTCAGGTAGTGCCAAATTTTGTTGGTGATCGAATATGCTCCTATTCAACCCAACTCTATGACGTGGTCGTGCATTTTATGCACTGCAATCGCTTGTAATACCATGGCGCTGTGACCTGCTTAACTGGTTCCCGTTGTTGAATATCAAAAAGAATGCGGCACGGTGTTGGGGTATAACCTGATGCGAATACCTCCATCCGTCTGACATTACCGCAAAATAGAATTGGTGTATAGTAAAAGAGTTTTCCTAACTACTTTACATGTTGCTTTTTCGTCGTGTTAATCCGGTGTCAGTTTTTCAAATAGTCGCAACTTTAGATTTTGCTTTCTACTTCGATTTAGTTCCCTCGCGAATACGGTGAAAAATTTAATGGAGAGTCCTCTTGGCTTCGATTACAGTTGTGCCTTTCTCTTAGAAGCCTGTTATCCCATCGTCAGTACTTTGTTTTCAGCGGAGGTGCGCTCCTTTCATAAGAACAGGTAGGTCATGAACCGCATCTTGCACCACCTTTACTAGCCACATCAGTTTGACCCCGCTCAAAGTGCAACTTTCCTAATATTTTAATACATGGTGTAGAGTTCATGACGAAATCCTCGTTCTTGAGGCGAAATTGTGTAACAGATTTAAACATTGAAGTATTGTGACAGTTTCTTTGCCATTACTCAGTTTCTTCGATATTCTACTTGAAATAATGTTCATCATCCATCGCCGCTTCTCCTTTCGGGTCGCGGAGGCAGACGCGTCAAACAGTGCCTACAACGTTCCCGATCCTGTAGCAGAGTCCGAGCTTCGGCAGAAGAAACTGGAGTCTCGAACAGACTTCGTCAGTATATTTGCACCACGTAAATCTTGACCATCCCTTTGGCGTTCTGCCGGTCGGATTCGAAAGAAACAGTTGCTTAGCCTTCCTTTTTGGCGGCATTCGCAACACCTGCTCAAACCATCGCAGCTGTGACTTCTCAATCTGGAGAAGCAAAGGCTGTACTCCAAGGCTCTTCCGGATGTCACTA